CCGCGCTGCCCCAACCCTAGCCGCCTTGACCTCCCCCTCCTCCCCCCGGCTCGCCGGCATGGCCGCCATCAGCAGCAGCAGCAGCAAGCGCCGCCCCCCCTCCGCGTCCACCGCCTCCTCCTCCTCCGGCGACGGGATCGGCGAGTACCGGCCGCAGCTCGTCACCCGGAAGCGGAGGTCCGGCGGGCGCGGGCCCCGCGGCGGCGTCCGGTGGATGCCGGCCATCCGACCAGTGAGTGCCTCGGAATTCATGGCCACGTCCGACCGTGCGCGTAGGTGGTTGATCCTCCGTATATATGGGATCTCCGCGGAGGTGGTGGGCCGTGGTGGCGGGGAGGTGCGGTGGGCTGGAGGCCCAGGGGCAAGATTGGGGGCGATCGTTCGTTCGTTCCTTCCTAGCTCCTCCTCCTCGTCCCGGATTTTGAGTTTTGATTGATGGACAGCGATCGAGGCGCCTCTAGGTGTTGACGTTTATGGTTGATTGGGGGCTCCGATCTGCCCGATTGCCGATTTCATTAGTGCATTGTTGCGAGTCTAGTGGATCTTTGTAGGTGTTCTTTTGAATTCCACGATCAGATTTCACCCACCTAGCCTACGGGTGTGTGCTTAGGTGTGAATGTGATCAATAGATTTTTTTTTTGCTCGATTGCTGTCGTTAGTGCTAGGCTACAGGTTATGGTAAGGGGTGATTATTGTACTTCTCTGTCGGATCTACGACGTCGATGGTCCGTTCACTGATAGTTTTGGCCAGTCATTAACTCATCGTATATATAGTACTAATTATCCATGTTAGGGAACTAATAATCAGAGTAAGATTTGGGAACTCATGTTCTGTCGTGTCTCATGTGGCACATGGATAGAATATGTCCTGTAGGTCCCATCTTGCAGTTTCGGTGTAACAAGAACACTTAGCGGTTTCATCATCATGATGTCAATGTAGTTATGTGCAAGGGTAACAAGAGCACTTGCCTGGCTGTGTGCATCACTCGGTGCAGAGGCCGAGGGTCTTTCCCCTCTTGAAAAGAAAAAACAAGAACACTTGCGTAGTTGCGTGGTTATATATATTACAGCAGTTCACACTAAGTATTAGCTACAGGTGCATGATTTAGTCCTTCACATACTCACTTTCTTTTGTCAATGTTGTTATGTGCATTGCACATTTACCGTGTCCACAAATGTCGTGTTATTGCTATTTCCAGGAGGCGCCGCAAAGTTTGTAGGAATTGTCCATACATGTGCTTTCTCTAGTAGCTTACTGCAGCACAATAATCACAGGAAATAGCAGCACATGTTAATTGAATTTTTCATTTCAATTAATCTTTTGGCTTTTTTTCCCATAGCATGGGGCATGGGCCACAACAGTAATTATGTCAGGCAGTACTATATACTAGCTGATGCATTATGTGTACTTGTGTACCAGTGTGCTGACTGGAAGGACTGGTAGATCATCTGGTATGAATGTAGCAGTGTTTCTTGGGACTGGGGTTCTTGAACCTTAATGGCCCCAAGTAACTTCTTTAGCTTAATGCAATTTTCAGGTGCTAGTTATGTTTTCATGTTTGATTTGGACTTTGTAGTGTGATTTATCTTATATTTTAAACAGAGACTATGAAAATTATCTGCGCTGTTCTTAAGCTGTTTAAGAGGCAAGAAACTGTGTGAACTTAGCATCATTTCTATTACTATGATTGACAGAACTGGTGTAAGAGGGCATTTGTAGTACAATTTAAGACACTTGCTATTTACACATTTGTCACCAGCTTAAGATAATCATTTCTATTTCTACGTTGACTAAGTTGTACACAATCTACAATTTGCGGCTATTTATTTTCCGTTGGTTGAAGCATCAATGCTCAGGATCGTTGACTTAGAAATAAGAATTTCCGTTTCAACTTAGAAATAGACACATCTAATGTGGTACTTAATATTTTTTTCTACCTGCTCTCTAAATGAATTCGTATTTTTGTGATAGGTAAATGAGCTGGATTTAAATAGAGTTGCTCTAGATCCAAATGTAAGATTTATGCAAAACATATAGGAAGTATTTCTTTTTAGAAAAGGAAACAGTGTTAATCAAACTAGCGCATTGTATTAAAAGATTCTACAATGTTTGTGTAGCATCAAGTGGCTGGGTTGCGAGTTATTCTGCAGAAGGAGCTCCGTAATAGTGACATAAGCCAGCTTGGGAGAATTGTTCTCCCGAAGGTGAGTTCTTATTTAAACAGCTTTTACACACTTCATTTTACCATCATAGTCCATGCTCTCTAACTGTTGACACTTTTCTCCGACACTAATTGCACAGAAAGAGTCGGAGGCTTACCTCCCAATTCTGACATCAAAGGATGGCAGAAGTCTACGCATGCATGATTTGCTAAATGCACAACTGTGGACATTCAAGTACAGGTTGGACAAATTGTTTTTCTTTTTTGCATTGATGTTTGCTGCTATGAGCTACAGTACCCATATGATCTTTGTTGTACCTCACTTTTACTATCTCAGCCACAAAATTGACGAAATTCCTGTGAAAGAAGCATAATGGCATGATTATGATGGTGGTAATTTATTATTGGGTTTTTATCATTTATGCCACTAGTTGTGTCCCACTACTCAGTTTTGCCATTAGAAGTTATAACTGCTCAAAAATGCCATCAATCCGTGAGATGTTTGCTCAAAAATGCCATTAGATATCTCAAAAATGCCATCGTTCTGTTAGATGTTTGCTCAAAAATGCCATTAGACATTGTTATTTTTACGTCAAACCCGTTGACCATGTTCTATGACAAAAATAAGTCTAGACCCACATGTCAGTTCTCTCTATCTCACAATGATATGTGTGGCCCCACTTGTCAGGAGTAACCAAGCGAATAATTTTACAGGAAAATAAGAACGCTGTTGGGATCAAGTGGGCCCCATACTTTATTGTAGTGAGATAGAGGGAGAGTTGGCATGTTGGTTCATAGGTATTTATGTCATTATAACATGGCAAAAGAGATTTGAGATCACAATAATGGTGTTTAGTGGCATTTTTGAGCATGTGTCTAATGAAGCGATGGCATTTTTGAGCAGTTGAAATTTCTAGTGGCAAAATTGAGTAGTGGGACACAACCGGTGGCATAACTGATAAAAACCCATTATTTTAATACCCCGCCATGTGTAACAAGAAATGAATTGTATCAGATAAGGTAGTTTTCTCTAAAACCATCAGAAGTATGGCATGTGAATATGAATCATGTTACGAATGTTCTTAGTTGCAGTGACATCCCTGCATTTATGTTTAATTTGGTCTAGCATATCCACTACAATGACACAGTTTATTATCTCCGTACAGATACTGGCCCAACAACAAGAGCAGGATGTATGTACTTGAGAATACTGGTGAATACCTTTATTTTCATCATATTTATTCTGTTGCACTTGTGGATCAAGTTCTTACATTTTTCTCCCTCTCTTAAACATCCCAGGGGATTATGTCCGAACCCATAACCTTCGAGTGGGAGACTTCATCATGATATACAAAGACGATGACAAAAACCGATTTGTACTTAATCTTTCTTCCTGGTTATTTAAGCATTTTAGTCATTTTGGCACGCAGTCGGTAGTTGCTTACTGTATGCTGCTTTGTGTCATGCAAAGGTCATCCGAGCAAAGAAGGCGGGAGATGATCTAGTTGCTTCTTTGCCACAATTCCATGAGCATATCTCTTCCATTCTGCCAATTCCAGAAGTTGATGACTATGTGTCTCTAATCCCACCACCAGCTGACATCTCTGCCTTTGCGCCACAAGCTGATGAGAATTACGAGATGTTCGATGGGATTTTCAACTCTCTACCAGAGATACCGGTAGCCAATGTGAGGTACTCAGACTTCTTCGACCCATTCAGTGATTGTATGGACATGTCGAATCCCGGCCTGAACGCCAACAACTCAGCTAACCTTGCCAGTCATTTCCATGATGAGAGGACTGGGCTTTCTTTGTTTCCCAACCCAAAGTCTGGGCCTCTGATGTGAGAACCAGCAAAACTGCTGGCTCCTAGCATACTACCCTACATGAAGTTCAGAGTCACCAGCCTTGACGCCGTAGCTGTACATCCAAATAATTGGTGTCCTCATTTTGTATTGTACTGTATATGCTTAACTGTTGCTTATGTGTAGAAGGTTTCGATTTCTGCTTTTAACTTGAAGGTTTCATCAGACGCAAATGCTATAACCGTGTTCAGTTCAGTGCACGAGTGTTGTTCTGATATTTTCAAGCTTCTGAACGTGCAAATACAAAGACGAAAGATGCAATGTGCATTTTTTGGCTAGGTTGCCTGCGCCTGGTAATAGATGCAAGCCAAATTATCTAGAACATGAATTACTGGACGGCATGCTGCAGAAAGCACAAAGCGGCTGTGCTTGATATTTGTGTTTGCATGTGATCCTTTGTCACATGCGGACTTGCTATTTTGTTTTTGATATACTCCCTCCGTCCCAAAATAAGTATCTCAACTTTATACTAGCTTTAGTACAAATTTATACAGCTCAAGACACTTATTTGGGACGTAGGGAGTAAGTAAGTGGAAAAATAATCCCATACGATAAGTTTATGTAGAGCCTTTTTGGTCGACCGTTTGCATGGTTTCTGCCTGACTAGTTATTACTCTCTCCGTTCACTATTATAAATCGGTTGTATGTAGATATGCTTTAATGCCCTGTTCAAGAATTCATCCGATTAAGCAGTTAACTTGCCGATTAATCCCTACTCATAGGGTCACCGAGTAGCCGATAAACCGATAAATCATTTGGTTAATTGATTAAATGGTTGATTAACTTGGCAATTAGTCTATTAATCCCCTACTCACCAGCCAACCGAGCAGCTACCAGTTAACGATTTCCTCAACAATGCTTTAATGTATTTGGTCATGTTGAAATATGTAAAACATCTTATAACAGTGAACGGAGGAAGGACTTGCATATGATACTCTATGCTCCACGCACCGGACCTATGGAAGGTGTACTTTTATGTTTTGTTTTTATTTTGAGGATTCACCGGGGGGAGAATTCTCCTATATTTGTGGCTCGGATTGGTAACTGGTTTGTTAAGGCGAGCCGACACCTTCTGTTGAGCTTTTACCTCTTATGTCCTGGCAAAAGAAAAGAGTTACTCCCTCTGATTCAACTTTATATAGAATTGTAATAAAACTGCGCCAATTAATTTGGATCGGAGGTAGCAGTATTTACTTGTTAGCTCCATGAATTGAATGTAGCACACTGCCTACCCATGGTCTGTCTAGTGTTGCCTTTCGAATGGAAAAAACCACGCTCGCCGCGAAGAATTTTCCTTGAAGAAAAGCACTGGTTATTAACTTTCAAGGATCAGATGAAAAGCATGATAATTATTCAATTAGTTTCAGTCTCGAAAGCTGTCGAAATAGTGTGGTGTCACTTGTCAGTGTCACCAACCATTGTCAGCCAACCATCACTCGAAAGAAAATAACTGTCTCAGGGCATTCTCAGTCCAAGACACTTGGACACTCCCTTTGGCACACTAATAAATGATTCCGGAGTAGAAAAATTAGTCCGAGCACAGCCTAATGGACACGGCAAAACATGAGCCAGAAGTAGGCAAAAAGATGGTGGAGCGTGGCGGGCCGGTAGGTGGCATTGGCAACGACGACGAATGGACAACCAACTTACCGAGAGGACCTTGACAGTTGACACCGGTTGCTTACCTTCCGGGTGAAGGTCCATCCAACACGTATGAACTGGACACCCTTTTTGCAGACAGAGAAGAAACAGATCGGAGGCCAAGTGTCGACCCAACAACGCCGCGTACGCACGTTACGGCTAGAAGAAGCACGCAACAAACCGCGCTTTGCAGATCGCTGTCCCGAACGGTCGCTTGCCGATCATAGAGCCGGCCGTTCTGGTCCCTCGTGGTCGTGCAGAAAGAAAGAAAAACAGTTGTGGAAAAATCTTTCTTGTGAAAGGAACGTGTGGAATATCTTGGCGCGTTGGAGGGGAGAAGGTGATGCAGTGCAGTGCTGGTGATATGCGTGTGGCTGGGGCGTACGTGACCGACTTACAAACGCAGAGAATTATATGCGCTGGGTTCCGGTGGTCCATCCGTCCATGATTCCTGACGCGACGCCGACGCCGGAGCGTCCACGCGTGCGACGGGGGCGACACTTGGCGTGGCATGGGGCCGAGGCCAGGTGGAGTGGGGGACACCTGCATGGACTGCGACGTACTGCTACTAGTAGAGAGTACATGCCGTGCGCTCGCCGGTCGCCACGCCCGGCACGGTGCTCCTACTACCGCGAGAATCTGTCGCCCACGATTAGAGATCGTGAGCTTGGCGTCAAGCGTCCCGCCCTGATTGGGTTCGGCGGCCGGGTCCCTCCGCCGTGCGTGGACCATGGACGCAGCCGGCACATCATCGTGCGGCTCCGCAAAAAAAAAGATGTTAAATGGCGAGAGAAACGCATACTCAACTGTTTGCCAAAATTATGGCTTCAAGGGCGCGGCCGCAATTTTTTTCTTTTGAAAAGAGGTACTTTATTATTTAAAAGATGGACAACGATATTTGGCACACGTGTGCCACATTGCTAAAAATACCACACGAATTTTCTCCCTTCGATCCCACCTCCCCCTGAGCCGCTCCAGTTTGTAGTTTAAAATAGGCAAAAAAAATAGCGTTCAAGGGAAGGGGAATTGAACCCAGACCCTCTCATCCAAAACTACAGCTGCACTAGCCCTCTTAACTAATTACATACAATTTACATACTAGTTGTATATTCCTGAGACGAGAATAAACAAAAAAAGCAGTGATTAGTAACTGAAAATCCAAACTGGCAGCCTCACTTGTACGGGTTTTAGAACAAAGCGCCCTAGTTTTATCATTTTTTTCTGCATATTTCACACGGTTCACAAACCCGGGCGTCCTCTTCACTCCTTTTCAGATGCAAAATATCATGATGTTTGCATGTAAGTTATCAGGTACGAAGTTTTAATGTTGCCATGTTTTTTTCACTCAAGTTTTTGGGGTATGTTTCTCAATAGCTTTTTCCCTGTTTGTACTTAAATTATCAGGTATGGGCTTCATATATTATCAAGATATTTGCAGATAAGTTATCGGGGTGTATTTTTCAACAACCCCTCTCCTCGGGTCAATATTATCATGGTGTTTGCATGTAAGTAATCAGATCTGCTATGTGTAAATTATCATGTTATTTAGACAGAAGTTATCGCATGTTCATCAAAGAAATTCACTTGGGCAAATTTACTATGGTGTTTTGTACCAAAGTTATCATGTTTGAGGTGTGTAAATCATCATGCTAGGTACATAGAAGGTACTGCGTGTACATTTTCAACATTTTTTTCACCCTCAGAACAGAAAAGTTACCATGATGTTCATACACAAGTTATCAGATCTGCATAAGTAAATTATCGTACTATTTACACAAAGGTTATCAGGGATATGTATTTAACAACATTTTCCCTGGGCCCAAAATTACCGTGGTGTTTGTACGAATATTATCACGATTGTGGTGCGTATATTACTGTGTTATTTACGCACAATTTATCAGGGTATGTTTCAACATCTTTTTCTCTGAGTCAAAATTTAACACGATACGTGTTTGTACGTAAGTTATTATGTCTGCGATGTGTGAATTACCATTCTATTTACATAGAAATTAACGGGGATTATTTTCTCAATAAATTTTCACCTAGTCAAACTTTTTCCTTATTTGGTCAATGTTACAAGGTATTTACATCCAGGGTATCAGATATGCAGTCTGTATATTACCATGCTATTTACAGATAATTTATCTAGGGTATGTTTTTGAACAACTCTTTCCCCTGATCAAAGTACCGAGGTGTGTATGTAAGTTATTAGGTCTGTGGTTCATATATTATCATGCTACTTACACTGAAGTTACCAGAGATATGTTTTAACAAACTGGTTTCTCTGGGGACGAAAAGTTACCGTGGTGTTTGTACATAAGTTATCACGTCTGTTGTATGCACATGACCATGCTATTTGCACTGAAGTTACCAGAGGGTATGTTTTTAAACAACATCTTTCTTCGGGGTTAAAAGGTCACTGTGGTGTTTATACATTAATTATCACTTGTGATGTGTGCATATTACATGCTATTTGCACAAAAGTTAATGCGGTGTATGTTTTCCAACAACTTTTCTCCCGGATCAAAAAGTTACCGTGATATTTATATGTAGGTTATCAACTCTATTGTGTGTGTATTACCATGTTATTTACACAAACATTATCCGGAGTGCGTTTTTAACAAAAAATTCTAGCTCAAACTATCACTGCGTTTGTATGTAAGATATCAGGTATTCTGTGTATATACTACCGTGTTATTTACACATGACTTACTGGAGTAAATAGTCCAGAGAAAAAATGTTTTAGAACTAGCGATATCCTAAACAGCGTGCATCAAAAGAGATGGAAGTTCAAAATAAAATGTCGCTGCCTTCTTGTTCTCTATCGGCAGTAGAAAAAAATTCACAATCTAAAACAAATGTAGGACTACATGGAACATCAAGACGCGCCGGAGTGTCCCAGCTTGAGTACCTGCTTCATGGGAGATAGGTTCAAATGAGGTTCAAAAGAATGTTGAGATTCTGATGCAAGAAAAAAAGCAGTTGTAAGTGGGGTAGTAGCTTTTTTTGCATCAATGGTGAAGTGCATCAGTAGGTAATGTCCAAAATTCACATGAGAGAGAGAGAGAGAGAGATGGTGATGGAGATAGAGCAGCAGCCTGCATCGGTTGTAGAGGATGTCCACATCAACATGCGTCTGTCAGCAGCACTTGAACTTTTATCCCGATTTTCCTCTGAAACTGCAACCTACTACAAGCAGCAGTGCATCTTCTTCTCCGCCGATGAGGCGCAAGCCTGGTTGATGTCTCTCAATTGACATGTCCAAAAAACAATCCAGTAGCAGGTGTGTGTAGTGTTGGAACGAACCACCCGATGGATCGGAGTGAATGCGGATCGAGTGA